CACGTCGGATGGCCTGGCATTTGAAGTGCCCACGTCTCCCTGCCCGGACTGGACTGCACACAGCAGGCCAGCACCACATCCTCTGCTGCTCCTTCTCAACACCGCGACAGCGCCTTATCTAGGGCTGCCTTATCTTGTCTGCTATGCCTCTTCTTTCCATTTAACTTACTTCCAGTAAACAACCAAATTGCTTTAATTTTTAAAATACCTAGATCTAGTATATAGGCCAAAAGTGGCACACATGAATTTCAACTGCATTACAGAAAATGTGTGCTTGCCTTTGTATCTTTTTTTTACATATTTTTTCAAAACACTTTATATATAATGCATAAATTCACAAATCAGAGGCAAGAAGAGTCTATGGAACACACTCAGGTTAAAAAAAATTCAAACAACTAAGAACATAATGTAACCACAGCACCACAGTTTTCATTTTACAAGCAAATGCAAGGTCTAAACTTTTCTCTGTTATTCTAGGCCATGTGGCTTGAGTCCTAACTCAAAAACAGCTGCCTGGGAAAGGTACACTTTACCCTTAACAATTCCAGGAAGTCTGTGACCCAAAATGATATTCCCTTTACAAGAGGATTTCACGGTAATCCAACCCAAACCTAACCTCCCTTTGCTTCCAAGTTTTAAGTTTCTATTCAAAGCAGAAATAAGCATGAGCCAAATCCCAGGATCAGTATAAATATGGAGCTTCAGAAAGGCTTTACCCTCACTATTATTCAGTATTACCTGCAATCTCTTACTCATGTACATTTTCTCCTATTTTTTAAAATTAATTCCTTCCAAACTTGGCAGGTTTTCTAAATTTATCAAAGTTTCAGCAGTCCTAACTCAGCATTTAAAAAATGCCACCTTGCCTAGATAAATACAAAAACATACCAGTACACAGCAACAAAGGTGTAAAATATAAGCATATTACAGACATAAGGTACAAGGACAGCGGCCCAAAGACCCCAAAAGAGAAAAAGGAGGACGGTGCTTATGAGGCCTGTTACAGCAGGATCCCAGGCAAGACACACAGGACAGTCAAGTACATGTGCTGGGCTAGGGGCACACACGCCACATTTAAGCCCCAACAAAGGCCACGAAGGGGAGCAACACGCCCCTGAGTTTCATTCCAGCAAGAGGCGATGTGCTCAACAGACACAGCTTTGGTCTGAAAATGAAAGCATCTGAGCTCGGTCCCGGCTCTGTCACTAATGAGCACTGTGACCCTGGGCAAGGATCCCCATCTGTCAATGACAAGTGAGTTAGACAACCTCTAGATCAGTCCCGACTCAAGACTCCCATGATTATACATTTATATTGAAAGAGGACGAATCCTATATCCCTCCTCTGTGTAATAGATTCAACCAATCGACTTTTTATTAATCATAGTATTATAAAAGTACCACGTAAGGCTGCCAT